ATTAAAATATTTATTTAAATTAATTAAAGTATTTATTTAAGCTAATTAAGATATTTATTTAAGCTAGTTAGAGTATTTATTTAAGTTAGTTAATATAAAGAGTGTAATAGCAGCGACATACCACACCACTGAGCCACAAACCCACAAAAGGGCATGATTTTAGAACGGAAGAATCCGCTCTAAGATTGATATGTATAGTATTGTGACGCGGTCGTGACAAAGAGCATATAAAGAACAACTACTTTATATACCTTTATACATACTATATATGTAACGATCGTGACATACCACACCACTACGTAACATAGCCCAAAAGAGCAACTAGACTTGATTGGAAGATCCAATCAAGTAAATGGTATGTATAGTACGTATGAGGGTGTATAGGGTGGTTGTTCCTCTATACGATCCTCACAGAAGCTTCCGTTCTAGAATTATACTCTTTTAAGTATATAGTATAATAGTATAGTATATTATAGTTATTATAATTAAGATATTTAATTAAATTAGTTAAGGTATTTATTTAAATTAAATAAAGTATATTTAAATTAGTTAAAGTATTTATTTATAATTAACTTTATAATACTAAAGGCTAAGACAGTGGTTTTAGCTAGGTATATAGTAGTTTTAGCAGCAGCGATACTAATGACTTTCTTTCTTCTCAACAATGGACAGAGTCTTTTCAGCACTTATTCAGAATACTAATCGCAGGATTTCACACCCTATTTTTACACCCACGTCCAAGTTCGGATCGCGTTCTCGGGGCGGTCTTCTCTCTCACCTTGGGCGGGTCGGTGTAACTGCCGGTGGGCCCCAGACTTTGGTGTGAATCGTGGGAACCTGATTGGCAGGAGAGGTACCCCTCCTGCCCTCGCAAGCGGCTGCGGCTATTGGCGCCGCCCCCCAAAAGTTCGGGCTGCTGTCAACGGTCAACCCGACGCTCTGGTGAGGGCCGTATTATCTCTCGACTTTTTTATCCGCACCGGAGCCTGGATGTGACGATTGATTCCGAAGGTCGGTAACTTCCTGGACGAGAGGCAGCAACACCCAATGCCAATATTGAGACCCGACCTGTCTGCTCTGGAACCAACATCATTTGCAGGAGAAGTGGGAAGATCGGGCTGAGCAAGAGGTGACAAATATATTAATATCAGGGCATCAATGGGTGACTCGGGGTCTCGAAAGCTTAGGCGACAAGCGAGAGAAGCCCCTCGGATGTTGGCGGCAGAGCAGGAATACCCAACTTCTAAGATAAGAAGTGACCTCGGGGCCTCCCGTCTCTGAAATGAATCAGACTACCTAATTGAAGAAGGGTCTCGAGGGGTTTCGCTCAGTATCATCAAATGTGTAAGTGCAGTGCTGGGTCGCACAACAGGGAGTCAGTACGGCCCGCAGGCCGAACACTGCAACTGCGCAGCGCCCGAAACATGATACATATTCGGCGGATGCAATCACTCCCAGCAGCAGTCTGTTTTCAGCCTGGTCTGAGATCTTTGGTTGAATTGCAGCATGGGCAGCGTCTCGCGTGACATGCGCAGTGATCAATGCTACTGCAGAACACCACCAGTGTAACAATTTCTCTGCCGTTGGTCATTGTTTTGTATTGCTGATTCGCTCTCTGCTTGATCTTCGAAGCAATCGCACCGAGTTGGGTTTTTTCTCGGATCCAAGTTGGGAGATCGCTTGGGGGTTCATTCTCTTTCTCATAATCGGATGACAATTTTCTTGTCGAGGTACATGAATGGAGTAAACCGGGAGGCAATTTCTTGGGACCTCTTTCCTCCGACTAGAAACCGTCAACCGTCTTTTTGCTCTTTAGGACGTTTCATCCCATCACCTTCTAACTCTCCCGCCCCTTCCTCCTGCAAGTAGCACATACGCATAACACTCTACTTATGATCCAACCCCCAGTTTTGACCTTTGAACGGTCATTTCCCCACTACCTGCGTCACCATCACTAGAGATCCCTAGTTTCCTTGCACAATACGTATCCCGCGCTCGAACCCACCGGCCACCAGGTAGCACGTCTGCTTAAATACCTACGTCCCCTCAGCCTATCTGTACACACGATTTTTCCACGTCCTCGAGTAGCATCGCGTTGCTCATCCATTGGCCGCGATCATGGGGAAACCAAGGCTTATAATCTTGATCAGGCACGCCCAGTCGGAAGGAAACAGTATGGTCAACCCCTCCAGACCCCGCCCCCTCTTGTCGAGAACAAATTCTAACTTTGACCCCGAGATATAGAGAACCGAGATATCCACCAGACCATTCCCGACCATAGAGTAAAGTTGACACAAGATGGTTGGCAACAAGCCTACGAGGCCGGTCGCAAGCTACGCGCGATGCTGCGGCCCGACGATACACTACATTTCTTCACGAGTCCCTACCGCCGCACACGCGAGACGACCGAAGGCATCCTGGCCACTTTGACCAGCAACGAGCCCGAGCCAAGCCCTTTTAAGCGTAATAAGATCAAGGTCTATGAGGAGCCCCGGCTTCGTGAGCAAGACTTTGGAAACTTCCAGCCCTGTAGTGCCGAGATGGAACGCATGTGGCAGGAGCGCGCCGACTACGGCCACTTCTTTTATCGTATACCCAATGGCGAGAGCGCTGCCGATGCCTACGACCGCATCAGTGGCTTCAATGAGAGTCTTTGGAGGCAGTTTGGAGAAGATGATTTCGCCAGTGTTTGCGTTCTTGGTATGTTGACCACATCCTTGCCTTGGCCTGGTGGAATTCGGACTAATCGACGGTTGCGCAGTTACCCACGGTCTCATGTCTCGTGTTTTCCTCATGAAGTGGTATCATTTCAGCGTCGAGTATTTCGAAGACCTGCGTAACGTTAATCACTGCGAGTTCTTGATCATGCGCAAGAATGAAGAGAGCGGCAAGTACCTCCTTCAGAACAAGCTGCGGACCTGGTCAGAGCTCAAGCGTGAGCGACAACAGCTGGCCAAAGAAAAGGGGGCCGATGGGAAGGATGGCCAGGTCAAGCAGAACGGGACCAGTAAGGACAACTCCAAGCTCGATTGCGCTCCTTTCACCACCGCCCCGGGCGTTTTCTCTTCGGCCCCCGCTGAGAAACCTCGTCGGTGGGGTGGTTGTCCGAACGGCTGCAACCATGACAAGAACTTCAGGATTCGCCCCGCCCTGGCTGACCTGTTGCAGAGCGACAGCATCATCTCTAGCCACGCTCCTAATGGGACGACCAATGTGAAGGATGGCGCAACCAGCGGCTCCGGATCCAGCGCCAGCAGTGCCAAAACCGCAACCCAACAACAGCCAACCACTGACAACAGCATAACGACACAAGGGGTATCCAACCCCTCCTTCAATGGCACGGCGAATAGCCAGTCCATTGTCAGCCGTCGGCCTGCCGCTAAGCGATTCCAGTCTTCAACAAACGGTAGTAGCGAAACGACTGATGGCAAAATCCCAGATTTAGCCTTGAATGGTCCTCAGATTGACGTGACGAAAGCGCGGGAAGAGGTTGTTTCCAGTCCAGATGGCACCCCCTCGTTTATATCACTCGATGATCGGCTCCGCAACCATCTCAAGTCCCCAAGCGCATTGCCACCATCACCCCGTCCGCCGCACTACCTCCACGTCGGACGAGACTTTGGCGGAACCTACAGCGGCCATAACAGCGTCGTAGCGAGTGATGCCGACTCCTCCGAAGACGAACGCCATCGCAGACAGCGGATACTTAGGGAGCCCGTGTTTACCGGCATCAAAGAGGAAAGTGTCGGCTCTAATGGCAATGCCCTCTCACCCAATTTGCTTCCCCACTTCAACAAGGACCGCGACTCGAGTCGCATGGGGCGCGGGATAAGAGCCAACAGGCTAGGCGATCATCCCCATAACAGCGACTGTGAACACGAGGCCGACGGCGAGCATGAGGATGGCTCCAGTAGCGGCGTGGACGATGAGGATCACCAAGATGGCGGGAGATTGACCAAGACGCTTACGGACGAGGCGGATGCTGCCCTGCTGGAGAAGGCCGAAAGGGAAGACCGGAGTATCGAGGGGAGTGTATACTAATCACGCCCGCATTTTTCATTCAATCTGGACACTGGATGGGCATAGTAAAACCTGCGCGATGGTTTGTTTGATTGGATGATTTTATTTATGCGTTCACTTCTTTTGGGCAACGTTTCCTACCCGGGGGAGCCTTGCAACATGCAGTACACAGTTTGATACCTCTTTTACTTTTTTGCTTTTCTTGTTGTCCATACAGGGCAGCCAATCCTCCATACATTTCCACGCATCATAGCTAGCGGTGCATTTAAAAAGAGTTTTGGACTGTTCATCAAGTATCAGCGTGATCTCAGTGGCCTGGGATGTTTTTCATCACAACCAGAGCAGCAACGTTGGTATCAATCTGATCATGACAGGATTGCAACTATTTAATGATTATTTAGATATTGTATATCGGATTAAAAATTATTCTACAGATCATTCTTTGGATAAGAAGCAAAACCATTTCTGAAAATTGATTTCAAGTAATAATTTAGGGTATACACTCATTCAAGTAAATAAAAAAAACTGAATGTTCAAAATCAAAAAGTGCTCCCCTCGACCGGAATCGAGCCGGTGACCTTTCGGTTTATGATTGAGACAATTACAGCCGAACGTGATAGCCAACTACACCACAAGGGGTTTATTTGATTGGTTATTAGGTATTGTCGGAATCCGGGCTGAAGAAGGCAAGACTGGGTGGAATGTTCTCCGCATCAGGAATTGCAGGGGCTTAGGGGGTTGCCGGGAGAGCACCACGCAGATTTCCTACCTCTAGTCTGGGTACTCACCCGAGTAAACAAGTCATAGTCAGTCTATATATAACTAGCCAACTTGATATAACTGCTCATAATAATATAAGCGAGGGGGTATTTAAGATGGGGTTAGAGGATCTATTGTAGAAAGAAAAATTAAAGGAAGCAAGGCAAACAAATATTACAAAAAAATGATGATGCCCTTTATAAGGGATTGGAAGGAATAGATGGACGAGCTGGGAATCGAACCCAGGACCTTTCGCAGGAATTCTTCTATATAATCCCCTAGGATGGGAAAGGAAAGAAGCTGCTAAGCGAACGCTCTACCAACTGAGCCACACGCCCTTGTTACTACTGGCCGGGCCGTTGTTGGCTTTTAACGACGGGATTCTCCTTTTCTTCTTGTGGGATTCGTGGGATTCGTGGCTGGGGAATATGAAGGTACGGTGTAGGATATAGTGGGTATATGGGCGGAGGATGTGGAGCCGGGAATGAGAGAATATCGCGGGCTTGAGTCGTGGACTCGTGGTGTTTTAAGTTTCCACAGCACGAAGAGCGCGGACACGCGTACTCAGGTACCGGGCGTGAAGCGACCACAGACACGGTCGACACGGAACGTCCCCCGAAAGTATCAACAGCTCTTTCCGGTTGTTTGCTCAGGCTGAAAGCCGATAGAACCATCATGATGTTTTATTTCATCTTGAGCTGCGATGAAGGAAGAACAAAGTTCGGAGTTAGTAACAGCCCAACCTTTCACAACCGGAACTAAGATCGAACCACACCCTGGACCGAAATCCAAGCCTCCTACCACATCGCGTATCAACTACCGAACACCAGAACACCGGAGCACGGCAGGATGACTCGAACACATGACATGCTGAAATACCGAGCAGAGACATGAGAGGTCGGAAGATGAGACAAGACATCTACAGCAAAACAGAGAAGTTGAGGGTTCTCGGTAAACTAGAAGCGGCTTAGATGCCGGCGTCGTACAAAGGGATCCCCAAACATGAATCTCGCTGGATATAGGGGACGCAAGGGCACAGAGAAAGACAGAATGACAGCTCGAGACATCACTAGGGAGGAAAGACACGGAGATAGATGGATATATGATCGGACAGAAGGCTGACTCGGTACTGACGTACGTTCCTAGCTCGGCCTTCGGATCCATCAGCGAGCAGTTGTTTACTGCATGCGAGCTATTGCTGTCTCTGCTATGAAGACAGTCGACGTGTTGATAGTGTTTATACTCGACATGGGATGCCAAGCAAAAGCTCTCCTATGTCCATCAAGATGGCCTAATAACAGTTTGGGAGGAGAACGTATGAACAAGGTGACAGCCCCTTTGCGGCCAGCCAGGCTGGTTCCGTCGAGAACAGGAATCAGCAGGTCATTCAACTCAAGATATCTTGGTGAACATCGGGGTGTTGATGGATGGAGTGGAGTACGGAGTAACTGGTCCTGTCCTATTAACATTCCCCTCATCTCTCAAGGTGACATTGTAAATATCCACACTCACCTCGGCAACAACCACCTTGAAGGGACCACTCACCAACAGCCACAAGCATGATCGCCATGACAATCCCCTTTTGTTACCTAACATCTGGCACGGCTGCATCCAGGCCAGGCGTACCGGTAGGTCGATTGGGGCACTGAGGATAGGAAACAAGACGGAGCTAAGGCACTCTCTCCTGCTGTGCTCCATGAAAATGTCCCATCCACCACCTCGATGATGCCCACCTTGGCTTGATATGAAGACACCATCAAGAGTTTCCCTAGTCAGCTGCATGCTCATCTCCCAGTGGTACCTTCAGAACGAGCACCTGATTAATTGGTCGAGAGACCGGGTCGGCCAATCAAGCTCCCAGGAAGGGTATCAATGCAGGCCTCATTATCCTGTTCCTGTCTATCAGGGTAGTCATGGGCCTGCGCACTAGTAGTTTGAAGGGTACCCCCCGTATTGTCTGCTCTGGCAGTTACAGCAACGACAAGCAAATTGAGAACGAGGGGTGTCTATCTAGTAGGGTCCAAGCCAGGGCAGGTGTTGTTGCAGCCAAGGGGGAGTGTACACCAGCCATCGCATCGACATTTCTCTCTCGCGGATGCTTTATCATTCGTGGCCTTCCCTCTTTGTGAGGATACCTGCCCATGGCAAACAGAAATCCATCGCGCGCAAAAGGTCCCTAAGTCCTAAGATATGCAGGCTCTTGGTCTTCGTGTCTCACATTCCGTGCAACAAGGAGCCACGGACAGATCGACAGCTCGTGGAGACCGATAGCCGTCTCGCCACCACACATAGGATGCATTTGGGACTGGAACTTCCAGCCCAGCCAGCTGGCATCCGAGGCGCGGAACAAACTACCGTCCGCCGCCCTCTTGCAGCAGAGCTACAAGCTCCGAAAGGCTGGATACCCGTGGGAGACGGTGATGGGAATGGGCATGTGGGATGAAAGTCGCAGACGCAGAGAGTCCGGGCCCTACCGAGAGCCAATTATGGACGAGGGGGTTGTGGTGGTGATCTTCTGGACAAGACAGACCACTTGGCCCTGCCTGCTAGATAATCTTTGAGAGGAGGCGTCGTAGGGTTGATCTCGAAGGGATCACCACCTCGCCAACTGACAATGTGGTGCCCCCATGTGTTGCCCTCTCCACGATGCATGCGGAAAGATGATCGCAGTACGTAGGCCTCCTTCTCCCGAGGGCAAAAAGACACCCTGATCCCTATTTGGGCAAGCCGGGTCAAGATCGGTTCGATCTGTAAGTGGTGGGCTAGTTTATCGAGCGACATTGGCAGGAGCTAAAGGCGTTGCAGCAGAGAGCCACACTGCTCTTGGGAGTGCTGGAAGGAAAGCCGTGGGCGAGTTGGAGGTCATCACCATGCACGCCGTCCTGCACCTCTCACGGGTTAGCTGCATGTCTGAGTTAATGTAAGCATGTGGGTGCATCGAGGGAGTCTTTTGGAGGGTGGTGCTTGCGTGTGTGACACATGGGAAAGTTGGGGTGGCGAATGGAGAAGAGAATTCGATTCGGAGCTAGAGATGCAGGAAGTCGTGGGTGGCAGAAGAAAGACGTGAGAGATAGGAGCAACTTGCTGCCATTCCCATCTCTGAGTAGTTAACATCTCTCCGAGATCAAATGTAGAAGGAGGCAAGTCTCCCCTCGGCGTTGTCTAGGGGGGGTGCTCTAATTATATATATCCCTGCCTCTTAGTCTTCTAATTTTTCTTGTATTTAATATATAATTCTAGAAATCTCTCCCTTAGTTTAATTAACTATCCTTTAATTTACTTATATTTTATTATAAAGCCCTAAAACTCCTTATCTTTCTCTTCTAAAAGTTAGATTTCTTTTTAATATTCTTACTCTCTAAAAGTCTTATATCTAAATATTAAGACTTAATAATTATTATTTAATAATAAGTATATAGTTTATACTATTTTAGTAAAAGTTAAAGATATTATTAGTAGTTTTAATAGTAATTTAGTTATAAATTTAGCTTTATATTTAATAATTAGTAGTTTTATACTATCCTCTACTTAAGTTTTTTATTTATATAGTATTATTCTATAAGACTATTAACTAAGTATATCTCTTAAATAAAAATACTCTATACTTTAATTTTTTATTCTTATTAATTAAGTTTTATATTTATATATATAGTTATTAATAAATAAAAATATAATTAAGTTTAGAAAATTCTAAACTTATACATCTACTTCTTTTAATAAAGTTTAGAATTTTTAAAATTAAAATAGTGTCACGGCGAGCCGTGATAACACAAGCGATAGTGCCCTATGGAAAGTGCTATATAACACACAATTCTAAGGCTAGCTTGCAGCTTAGAATTTGGCATCCTTTTTAAGGAGGTTTGGCCTAGTGGTGTGGTTCTAGATTCCCAAATCGTCACAAATAGCTAGTACTTTATTAGTCTATAACTCTTATTAGTATAGTTATTTAACATTAAATTCGGTAACGTTAGTAATATATTAGTTTTATATTATACTTTGTTCTAGTATTAGTATCTAGTGCTACTATTGTTTTAACTTTTCTTTTCTAGCCACTTTATATTGTAGAAGGAGGCAAGCGACAGCAAGCTGCAGTTCCGGGATGACAAGTCTCCAAGTCTCGAACCAAGGGCCCTCCATCTATCGGGACTAGGTGGTTCTTGCCTCAAAGATGCCCTTTATCGTGCGCAAGAAAGGCCTCATCAGGAGGAACGCACCTGCCTCCCAAGTCGAGACAGCGTGGGGAAGGAGAGGAGCCATCCCCCCGCAATTCACACCCCAGTCGGCAGTCATATAAATCTCGAACTGAATCGATTCATTCGCTGTTTCCATGTTTGGGGGTCCTTGGGTTTCCAACCAGGTCCGTCCGTGACGTTCCTTCCTTGGTCCGGACAGCCAAGGACGATACCGTAGGCCACCACTGGCACATTTCATATAACATTGCCTTATGTAATTGCTAACGTCACTTTGAACCTCGAGATGGCTCCTCGGTGTTCAACACGGGACGTGGCCTGCATAACCCCATGTGACCTGGAGGATGACATGCGTTAACAATCACCATCTCTCTCTCCACAGTAGAATTACACATCTCTCTCTCCGCAGTAGAATTACAAAGAGATGAAGCTATTTCGGTGGTGTCAAGGAAAATTGATAGGTCATTTCTCGCCTCGATTTTGTCTCACCTGTTTCTGCCAGAGATGCCACGCGGATTGGACGTCGAGAACAGGGCTAGTAGAATTCCATCATCACTCTCATTTCTTTTTTTTCACTCTCTCGATGCATTCGTTGCTTCTTTTATCGGGAAAACCGTTGGACGTTATCCGTACCACACCCCTTTCTCCCTGCGCCCTACGAGGCAAGGGTATAACGAGCTGTATAGTAATGGACGGAGTTTTTATCAGGGCATCTGACCAGCTGTTTGCTGACCATGCCCGATCCAAGCCAGATCAAATCGGTGAACACTGATACCCCTGATGTGTGCAACGAGAACCTCACTAAGCAGTAAGCACTACAGGAGTACCGTGCATCGTCTGTTGATCACGCTTTCTGACGGGATTTGGATTCATTCTTTACTAGAGGCCAGAGGGGTTAGGTTAGCTGGACTCCTCATTTCCCAACATCATGGTACTGTAACCAGAAAGAGGTTGGGCTTGTTCATGATAACCATATGGAATCCAAACATGGTTCTCTCAGTTCTCATGTTTCATCACCAATGTCTGTTCAAGGGGTTGACGAAAATGCAGTTTAGACGCCCTCTGAATCCTCTCATTCCACATGGGGACCTCGGTTCCCGTCTCCAAGGTTCGGCCGTCTCGGTTGACCTTGCGTGGTCTTCCCGTCC